CAGCACCAAGTAACGCGGCTGTTAGGCCTCGATTCTCGTTCTCGAACTGTCGCTGATACACGACCCTCTCGATCGACTCCGGCAGAACACGATGACCCACTCGGAACGACGAGAGCCGAGCCCGAAAGCAACCCACGCGAACAACACCCACCCCCGTCCCTGCCGAACTTCCATTCCTTCTCTTGGAGCGTTCGTTGCCGCTTAAGTACCTACCGTTGCGGACGTTTAAGTCGACTGGCTCTATATACACGCGCCGGGAACGCACCTGAATAATGTTCGAAGACGACGGGGGTTGACGTTTGTCGTGGCGGTGCCTAGCGTGCGCGGTTAACCCTCTTCCCTCTCGACCTCTGTCCTCCGTCCTAACGGGGTGTTCGTCTCTCCCCCGTGCCCTCTCCCTGTGCCTGTCGTTGCCTCCTGTTGCCTGAGCCCCTCTACCCCTGACCCAGCGAGACTCATAATTGTCCGAGGAGGCATATCGCGGGCAGAATAAGGAGGCAGGCAGCGGGGGAGGATGGAGGACACCGGAGACACGAAAGTGGTTATGCGCATTCTTGCTCGGCGGAAAGCCACCCAAGAGAGGAAGGCGGTTGCGAGCGATGGAAGGAAGCGAAGTGACGCGGGGGCGATAAGGGGCCAGGAACGGGGATGAAGTAGCAAAGAGCGAGAGAGAGAGAGGGGTTAGATGGTCGTCCCCCTGTGCCTCACGGCTGAATACTTGAATATTGATTAAGCATGCACATCGCGATTACCGGGAGCAGGTAAAAGCGCTCTTGCCGAGCCCGCGGTCTGCGTGTCTGCGGATATTTATGTGAAGCGGTGCTTCGACAACGGGGTGCCCACCCCGCAACCTCCGCGAATTCTTTCTCTCTCTGCCGCCCCGAACGCCTGTCTCTCGCCTTGTCAGCTGCCGGCCCCCTGTCGTCTCCGAGGGATAAAAAAGGCCTGCCAGAAGACATGAGCTAACCGTTTTCATGAGACGAGAGACGCGGATGCGCGTGGAGCGTGCACGGTTGTTTGATTTACGATCGGGTCCTCGTAGGATTATGTTGTTCGATCGCGCGGGCTCGCTGGCCTACTTCCCGGTCGCCGCCGGTCAACGATTAACGGGACAGCCGTTTCTCAATTCGCTCCTGCTTCTTCGTTCTCCTCTTCTTTCTCTTTTTTCGTCGCGTAGGCGGCAGTCACGAGGGCGGAGGTAGTAATTCGTGCGTGAGTCGAATCGGACAAGCCTCACAGATGGATTTTCGTGATTATTACGATGTGAGACAGTCGATGAGTATTAGGCACTTATAAGACACTCATGAAACCCTTACAGATACCGCTTAGATAGTTCTCTGTGATTATCACGACGTGAGACAATCGATGATGAGAGCTTCGCACAATTAATTTATGAGGCAAAAATAATCTGTTGAATTAATCATTAGATTTACACTATATTTGAATGCTTTTTCAACCTTTTGGTAAGCTAATTGACAGTTAAATTTCTGTTTAATTTGAAGGAAACATAAAGACAGACATATGATTTAATTGTTTGTTTTCGTATCAAGAAGTCGGAAAAATCGATCCACAATAATGTAAATTCTTATATCGATGCAGTAAGAAATTCGCTCACAGTCACTTTCAGACTTTCACATCACATTTCACATACTATTCTGAGCAAAGTTTGGATTCATTTTTTTCGTATTTCTATTTCGTCATTCTATGTAATAAATACGAGTGTCATATGAGCCACTCATATGGGATGTAACCTTTACAAATCGACTAGTGTGTGACGTTACTGCCAAATTTATATACATCTGTCTGTCTGGATTGTTTCGTTGCGCGGATGATGTTCTATCGTCGTCGACGACGACGACGTTTTGCTGACGATCGCCGTGGAATAAGATAGGGAGATAGAGAGATGTAAACGTGAGGTGAGATAGAGGGAGAGATAGCTAGACATAAGAGAGATGCAAGCAGGGAGAGAGGGAGGGGACCATCGCGATTAGGTGGACAGACGATACTTCTGTTTGAGTTAGTCGAGAGTAAGATTCTCGGTCGTTAAGTGACTCGGACGGAGACAGACGTATTCGTCGCGCTCGTAGTTGCCCCCGACGCCCTCGAGCACGGCATTTCACAAGTCGTGATTGTGAATTGTTCATTTTGAATGGGGGATAATTGCGAAATCGCGATAATGACGAAAAATACAAATTTCACAAGCGTAGAATTTGGCAGGGCGCGTCGCGCTTCGCCGTACGTACGAACGCGTTGTTCCGCCGACTCGTTACGCCGCACATTGTACAAATCGCGCGGATAATTAGCCCGCCGCTCCAAATTTTTCCGCTATTACGCAGAATATCGTTATGAAAGATTCATCGGTAACCTACCGTCCTCGCATTGGACATATTCTCCCCGATAGAAATGTTTGCAGTTTGTGTAGACATCCGTCCAGTTAATTATCTAGTACTTAATGTATTCTCATTTGTTGTAAAAATACTGCGTAGGAACTGGACTGGATACAATGATTAAAGTAGCTTACTGTATAATATGTGGAACGATTTTCCTTCCAAGTATCAGTATTATCAATTCAGTTTTATATTGTATGCATATTATAATGTCTGCGTCGTGAATAACTATAAAAGATATTTACTAATATATTGTTAGAAGAAAAAGCTTACAATCGCGTGAACAATGAATGAACGTGTAGAAAAGCATAGAGCAAGGAAAGGGAAGTTGGAAGAAACAAGGTATCTAACAACATTAAGTCCTGCGACAGAGATGACAACTGAAATTAGGAACACAAAGACAAATGGGATATATGTTAATAATATAGAATTTCACTGCGACGAGAACACAGACTATTCTGATGCCAATAATATAAATGAAAACTGTCATGACAATTCAGATTCAAAACTCGACGGAATGATACAATTACAAGAATTGATAAAAAGACATGTGTCGTTTGATAGTTGTGGGCGATGTCACGTGAAAGGCGAGAAATACCTTGAATTGAAATTTTAGTTTTATGTTAAACCTTGAATTCAACGCAGTAGGAGTTACGTTGATTTCCCCACCAATTTACAATTTGTAATCTTACTGTTTTTTTTTATAATCTTACTATTATTTGGCGTTCGATAACATCATCGACTTACCTTTTGTCTCGGTGAGAGATGTCCCTCGATTTATTTTACGAAAAGAAAGAAGACACAAACACATGCACTGAGAGAAAAATATAGTTGCTTTCGGCGTCAACTATATTTTTTTATGATTTTAACCAAGAAAATAATTAGAAGAATCATTTTCCAATAACACTTACTAAAACAATGGTTTTTTTTATCTATTTTTGTGGTTAAAATCACAAAAGAGTATAGTTGATGCCGAAAGTAACTATTTTTCTCTCAGTGTGAACGCGTGGCATTACATTGCACAGGTCACAACATATTACAGCTGTTGGTCGAATACGGCATAAATCGCGATTATTCCGCGTTTTTCGCAATTTTCTGGGGAAAGACGCGCGGGGATATAATTCACGAGCCGATACTACTGAGCTAATTTGCCCCGGCCGAACGCGCGCAGCTGTCTAATTAAACCGGCTCTCGCGCAACAAAGCGTACGTGTGGTCGCAACCGGGCGGGCTTTGCACACCGGCCGGCTTCCGATGCTTCCACGTTGTTGACCACGATCGTCCTCCACTCGAAGTGGCGGAGGCTGCGTAAAAAAGGCCGGAGGACGCGGGATCGCGCGGCGGGAGGCAGGAAAAAAGCCCTCGAGCTTTGAATATTCAGTAGCTACGTCCTGGTCGCGCGGCTTCCCCGTCCGACCTTATTTTTCCGCGGCGAGAAAATCGCAACTTCCGCCGCTACTTAGAAAGAAAGGGAGAGAGAGAGAGAAGAAGGAAGAAGCTGAAGGAGCCAGCGATTCTCGCCTACGTCTCTCGCGCTCGCCAAGCAGAAGAGACACGTCGCCGGAAATTTGCAGCTGCTCGCGCGACGGAGGGATTAAAATTAGCTGAATTAGCCGGGAGTGTCTTCGCGGATCGCGCTGCTGATAAACCGTCGATCTCGATCAGCCAAGTTTCGACGGACGGGGTGGAAATGCACTGGGAGGAATGATGACGCGCGTATCGATTTCCCGGGTCGGTAGAACAGATTGCTGGTCTGTACCATCTACGAGGTCTTCTGCCTGATAAACTAGCGATCGTAGGTAAAATACAGGATGTCCCAAGATAACGGGAACCGTGCGATATGAATGCGCAACGGTCGGTAAATCGCGGCTCCGAGAGATCGAGTCGCGAGGTCGATTCTTTGCGTTTTCTGCTCGAGAATTTGCAATATACACGGAACAAATCTCAATTTGTATATTTGAAAAATTGATGAAACGATACCTCCGTTACCGCTTGCGAGAACATCTGTCTGAACGCGTTCGGCCGCGTCGAAACTCGATTGAAATAACAATTGAGACAACAAACTGAACAGAAATCTCTCCTGCAGGAGAGATCTTTCTATTCCCACAGCCGAGCTTTCCCTTGGTCTTCGAGCAACGAAAAATTCAGTTTTACGAAGTGACTTTTTCTTCCGCGCGTACGTTTAACACGTGTGATTTTATTTGAAATCGATACGCGAGGGTAGCTCGTCGCGCAAATTTGCTCACGTTATATTATTTGCAATGCTGCGGTCTTCTGAAGCACAACATCAACATTCTAGTGAAGTTTTTCACTTGAAATTTCACGACGCTACAGAAAACACAATTTCGTTAGTGTAATTTTCCGTTGACTTGCAAGAATAGGGACTAGATGAAAAACTCGGTTGCAGAAACAGAAAGATTTCTGGTTTCTGCTTAGTCAATTGTTTTCTGTTATTGCAACCAAGCTTTAATGCAGCTGAGTATTCGGACAAATGTCCACGGTTGCGGTCATATCATTCTCACGTCGCTGAATTTCCATCTGAGTGTTATTCAGTTGCGCGAAGTGAGATTTTTTTTAAGGGTTAAGTTAAGAAGATCATTAAAGCATCACTTACCGGGATAGTGACAGTCGTGCTCGTCGCTACCGTCTTGACAATCCTCGACGAAGTTGCATCGTTGCTGTTCCAATATGCATCTGTTGACGTCGCACGCGAATTCGCCGGCGCCGCAGCCTGTGAAACATCGACGTTACGTTACGTTACCGGTAATCTCGTATCGCTGCGTTTACGACTATCGCTGTACGAAGTTGCGAGATGCAGTTACAGAGAGTACAGTCGCGAATGGTAGAGATGACGGAACATGCGGAGCTATAGACAATTAGCACCGTCATTTCGACGGTGTTTTGACATAAGAAGCATTAACGACTCATTCTCATTAAAGCCCTTCGCGAGTACTCGCGCAGTAGGCTGGCCTTGTTTGATGAAGCAAAAAGCGAGAGATTCAATGTTCGCACGATTCTTGCGTTATACGTCGAAATAAAAAGATATATCTTATAAAGACACTTGTAAAGACACTTGTAATCGACTCAGCAAATTTACAAGATGCCCCTATTTTATTGCTGTCACAATCAATAAATAGCTATAAATAGCGAAAAATTAACAGAAACGATGAGAAAAACTTGGTTAAAACCTGAGTTGTGTGTCACACTAATTTTGTAGTTACTTGTTGACTTTAGCAACAAAAGAAAGAGAGTGTTCGGAACATTTACAAATTTGCTGAATCGATCGCAAGTGTTGTTTCATGGATGTTTTTTTACTTTAACGTATAAGGCAAGAACAATGGGCGTGCGATTTCTCGTCATCAAAGACAGCCGACGCGAATAGTCAAGGACCCTAACACGTATCACATGCACCGATATAACAAAGTTTACCAACTACGATCGTATATTTACATATTTATACAAGATGCGTGGAACGTGTAATTAGAAAAAACGCGTTTGCTCGTAACTATGTACACATGCGACATTGATTGCGCATAAAGGGTCGGATCTCGCGTAATAAAGAAGCGTGAGATATATCTAGTAGTAGTCAGCGAGAGAGAAAGATACATTTAACGTGCATGTTTCGCCGCAGAAGGACCGCGTTCGTCGTTTCGACGAGTACAATGCCCCATTCATTCGACTCGCGGCTCTTCCAGGCTCTCGGTACTTAAGTCATGATAAATTAGAGACTCGCGGGGATTCTTTTTTCTTTAAAAAGAAGAAAATATAAGGAATGACGCTAAACTAACGGTCACCCTGTATTTGACTGTTCGTACTGGGATCCTAGCAATATGCTTGGAAAATAACACCGAATCTGTTTGCAAAAACTAATCGTCAAATTCGCACCGGAGCACGTCGAGAGTCAAATTTCTCGCTACAGAACGAACTTGGCGGCATGCATGGCTCCTCGTAAGAAAAACAACTTCAAATCACGTTCCGTGGGCATTGGACTTAAAATATGCGCCAACGATTATTGGCTGGTTATTCATAGTCGACTCATTTGCACCGGGAACGAATATATCGGTTCATTTCACTTAGTCATTATCACGAAAATGGATATGTCGCACGCAGTCGAAGCGCGCTTGACACAGTTCGTGCCAAAATCATGTGCTTTTATTTGTTTGGTTATATTCGTATGGTGCAGGTCCGTTATGTTTGTCAAGTAAAGTAGAAGACAGAATTATTCAACTTTGGAGAATTAATAATTTTCACGAATAAGATAAACAACGTCGACTCGGTATTTTTTTAGACATTTAACGAGAAAGGACGATGGAGAAAGGAATGGGCTGATATTTTCCTAAAGAATGTAACGTCAGCTGTACGTATAATATTTAACGTCGTTTAATATGTGCTTCATTTTGCAGTGTTTCCCCAGTTTCCAGCGAACAAAAGTTATAAAAGCGAGCTATGACACAAATAATTAAGTAATTCAGATAAAATTGTCACTAATTAAATTATTATTAAAAGTGATTATTTCGACCCCTGAGACAAAAAAACGTAAGATTACGTATATAATTTACGTTACATTTTTCAGGCAAAAAGCCGCTCATTTTACTCATCGTCCTTTTTTATTTTCTTCTTAATAACCAAATTTTTTACGAGTATTTAAAGAAATAGCACAATACTTTTTACGCCAACCTAATACTTGACGTCGATCTAAAGAGAAAGAATTTAGCGACCAGAATATATTTTTCAAAAGTAAAAGAGATACCACGAATATGACATATTTCTGGCGAATATGGCGTATTTCTGAAAATTTCCAACGATCCAAATGAGTTGATCGATCGAAGACACTGATCGATGGTCGAGGACGCCGAGGATTGATATCGCAAGTTCATTCGGTCGCGAGAAAGCGGCATTTACGGCGCTCGTCGAAACGACAAGTTACGCTCGTCCTTCCGTGTCGCCGACCTCCTGTCGTGCATTGAGCCTGATCCTCGACGAGGATCCGTCCGGCTCGACCTGTACCTGGGTGCGGGCAGTCGACCTCGTCACCGCCGTCATCGCAATCCGGAATACCGTCGCACTCCTGCACCGAACAGATGTAACGGCTGCCGTCGGCGCAGCGTACCGTGTCGTCGGCGCGACACTTGCTCACGGTTGGCCTCAGCGTGGATTCGTGGATCGAATCCTCGTCCTCACCCTCGTCGTCACCCTTGATGTCGTCCGGCATCTCCGTCGGCAGATCCGAGGTCGTATCTACGTGTCGCGTGTATCAGCATGGATGTTGGCCGACGACCTCGCGTTAGCGCGAGGAGACGCAAATTGAACGCGCGGCTTCTGTTTCTTCGATCGCGGTGATGTTAATTCCGCGTGCGTGGCCCCTCGTGACAAGCTCGAGGGAAACAGCGCGGAGTTACTGTCCACGAGTACGTGGTAACGAAACAGGGAGATGTGCAATACGATGTGCAGTTCGACATGCTCCAGAGGTGCATTCGAATTCGGGCACTCGGGTGTTACATTGTAAACTAGCGCGGGTAGGATCGTGATTGGCATGCGGCACAAGGTTGATTGCAGCAATTTTACAGCGTACGAAGAATGTCACGGCGTGCACTGAGAAAAGAATTCCGTTGTCGAAACGAAAATTTGGTACTACGATTTGGCTAAAGTGGGATGGACCAAATTTTTAGCTGCAGCCACAAAATTTATCGCCATTTGTGTTTCGCTTTTTCAAATTTATATATACTTGACACAAGTGAAAAAACATGTATAATGCCAATTAAATAGTACGTACCAAATATTTTAGTTTGCAACGCTAAAATAATTTTTTCAGTGTACCGTGTGTGTCTGTACACGCGGGTCATATCGCGACCTGGAGAAGCCGGAATAAAAAAAGAAAATTTGACAGAAGTATACTAAAAGAGTACACGGGGAGAATATATTCTGACTCTTTTTTTTATACCTTTTAATTTTTATATTACTCTTTTATATTTACTTTTTGTATTAATTCTTTTCTTGATTTTATCATGTTTTTTAATGAAAATAGAAGTAGATAGAGTAAATAGAGTATTTCTCGCTGAGAAACTGGCAAACTTTTAATAGCAGACTTTACACTGAAAAAACATTTCGTTGTCGAGACGAAAATTTGGCGCACCAAGTAAAAATTTATTATTCTCTGATTTATTATTAACCGTCTTTGTTTCGTATAAGATAAAAATATCAACTGCCGGACACGGACAATTCTGGACATTCTGATTGTTTTGGTCTTTATATGCAAATATTTCAACTTTCAATAGAATGTATATATAATACTCAATATTTGTACATATACATATTTCATCATATATTAAAAGTTTAAATATTTATATTAAAAAAGACTAAAACAATGAAAATGTCCATTAATCAGAGTAGAATGCCGATTCTCAAAATTTTCGGGTAATTTCACTACAAAATTTTCCCCGTGTATGGGTAAGAAGCATTCGATGCCCAATGTCGCGTGAGATTTCTTGAAGAGGTGAAAAGGGTCGTGTTGTGGCGGTGCCAGGTCGCCCGCGTACTTACCTTCAATCGTCTTTACATCCCCCGGGCAGTTGTCCTCGTCCGAACCGTCGTCGCATTGCAACACGCCGTCGCAGCGCGATTCTAACGGCACGCATGCACCGCTCTTGCACATTAACTCGGCCGATTGATCGCATTCCGGTTGTGTGTCTTTCTCGCCGGCTGCGTCCGGGTGTCGCGTGCATTCGTTGGTTGTTTCGTCGGGAATGGATCGCGTAAGCGAGTCGTGCGATGCCGATCGGTGTTGTTCGGGGGAGGTGAAAAACAAAAGAGGGTACAAATTAATAAGAACGTAAGAGATAATCGAGGGAGGAGAGGCCGTGACGTGCTGGAGAAACGGAGAAAATGCGAGAACGGGTCGGTGAACTAATGAAACTCCAACGAAAGCCACATAGATTGAATGAAGGATAATCGGACAACATAGAAAGTCGCGAATTCGGCATGACGATTGCATTCTCGGTGCATTCCCGTGCATACACCTACTCATTCTAATGTTCCGGCGAGCATGTCTATAAGTCACGTGCCTTCGGCGAAATGATCGATTTTACCGTCTGACGCTAAATATATCATCTCCCGCCGCGATTGTTGCGCGTGAATTTTTCACGCGCTCGCGCCACGTCGTTAATCAATTTTGACAGTTGAGAGAACTCGACAGTTCGATATTCCGCGGGTCTTTTCCTACTCCGTGTATTCAAACTTTCCCGCAACGGCGCGGCGGAAAACCGTCGCGGAAAACCGAGCGAATTACGAAGTTTAGCTTCGAAACCTCCGACGTGAAATCGATCATTTCCAGTCGTTAGGCGATGGCCGCCGCCAATGGAGATACCTTGGAATATCCTGAAGGTGAATCCCTCAGGACCTACTTGGATGTTGCCCAAGGAATGATACTGCTCGAGCTGTTGCTCGAGGACGTCGCGCACTTTGTGCTCGTCCGTGAACGTCGAGCCGATGTCGAGGGTGACCTGGGACGTGAAAGCGTCGGACGTCGGTCTGGAAATGAAAGCACAGTAGTGTCGGTCGTTAGACAAGTCGCGGGGATGGCGACACGGGTAAATCGTACTTACGATATCTTGACGACGTTCGCGAAATAATTGTAATTCGGAATGTGATTATTATACAAGTTCTCGAGGGCCTTGGTGAGATTGCTGCTCAGGATTCGGTACTCGGGGCTGTTCCTGTCGGAGTACTCTCGCCTGTAGGGTTCGCCGACCGTCAAGGTGACTCGATAGAATCCTGCGAGGAAACAGTCGTTAGGGTTAGATCGACCGATGGATTTCGCGGAGAAGGATGATCGCGAAAACGACCGTCAGTTATATGAAAAACACACACAGGACGAGAAATTCCGCTATTATTTTTGGAGACCGCTCTTAACGTCTCTTCCGAGAGGAAGAGTCTTTTTGTTGTTGCGAGAGTGAAAGCTTTGCCGGACGTGTGGCATAATATGATCTCGTGTGCCGTGAGAAAGTGTGTCTTCATCATGAGAACATACTCTCTTAAAGTGAATCAGTAAAAACGTTTCTGATTGAATCAGTAGGACGACTCATTCACCGATGATCGATGAATATACACTGATTTTCAATGAAAATACTTTCACTTTGCTGCTTCGTCCCATTTCTCATTAATTTTGACTAGTTGAAGTAAGATTTTATTGCAAAATCTCTGATAAATGAATTGGTTGTACGTAATTGTACTAAATCTAAGTTTCTGCGTTTATGACGACGGAATTGCATTTTAATTGCACTCTGTCTGTGTTTGTACGAAGTGTAATAATAAAGGAGATAGCCGCTACTATTAGCTAATTCAGCGATATTTTGATTGCAGTGTTATATTTATAATTAAATTACCAGTTATAGTATTTCAGCGAAGAACACACTTAGAGATTATACTTTAGAGAATAATTAATTTTGAAGATAGTCACGGTAAAATCCTTTTCTCGGTCCTTATCGGACCGAAAATACTCTGCATCGCGTTCAAGTAGTACATCTTAAAATAAAGTCGTCAATCTTTTCATTGTTATTTTCGGGATATCTCAGAGAATTACCGTCATCATCAGAATTTACACCTGCGGTAGACAAATCGTTACGACATTACGCTATTCTTGTTTTCATTGTTTGTCATCATTTGTCGAATTAGCGAACCAAGAGAGCAAGGATTGTGGCGTACAATAAAACGCAAGCAGTAAATCTTGGCAGTAAACAGACTGGCTGACTATAGTTGATGATTCTTCTTACGACTCAAGAATAATCGACTAGTAAACTTTCCTACTGTTTAAGTCTTACTATCTACGTTCTTTTGTGTGCCATTCGCTTCAACGCGGATTGTCTTTAACCTGTTCCGATTAAGGTTCCTTGTACTTCGCCGCGACTATATTGGATTTGTGACGTCAGAAGCCAGGAATGACACGCTGACGAAAGTTGCGTGCCATTTCTAAATAAAGATAAATATGGACGAAAGAGCACTTGAGATTGCTTGAGTACACTTGTAAAATTGTCCGAAAGATATCCATTCCTGATAAATAAATAGTCGTGTAATAAATGGTGAAATGAAGCATGCAGACAAAACTTATTTTATCATTTCACCATTTATTATATGACTATTTATTGATCATCAAGGGAAAGAGATACCTTTCGGACAGTTTTAAGTGTGCTCAAACAATCTCAAATGCTCTGTATTTAATGTCCATATTTATCTTATAATAATTAAATGTCCATATTTATCTTTGCTCAGAAATGGCACGCAATTTTCGTCAGCATGACATCCGTCGTTTCTGACGTCACAGATCGGCAAGGTACCAAGGAACCTTAACGCGTGCAAACGGCAGGGTCGGATACTTACTCGCAGGACCGACAGTGCGATGGTTGTCCGTGTTAACACGGTTGTCCTGGTCCGTTTCGGACGCGCTGCCTTCGATATCTCCCGAGCCGGCCAAGTCCTCGTCGTCGCTGTTCCCATATGTCACCGGTATCCTACGACTTTCCGCAACGTCTTCGACTTCGTTATTGTGCTGCAAAAACATGCAATATATACAGTTGGCGTGACGAGTCTCGTGTCGTGAGGTGATCTCATAAACGGGAGGAACTCAAGAGAACACGCGTTATGCGCAAAACTACGCGAACGTGATTTAAATGAGAAACATTCGCACGTAATCGAATTACGAGCGACATGATAGCGGGTGAGAAAGAGGTCACACAGTGGCGAGAAGTTTTCAAGGTTTGAGCTTTATACCTCGTTGTCTTCGTCGTTGTCGTCGTCGTTGCCGTTGTTGAGAGTCAATCTCTCGATGACGCCGTTTTCGACACTCGACGCTTTCACCTGAGAGACTGTACGGTTTCCATCCTGAGTGTTGACGAAGACCGAGTCGTCGATATTTTGCTCCTGATCCTGATTTAGATTCTGATCTTGGTGTACTGTCTGCTCTTGATCTGTCGGAAAAATCGGTCATTTTAGAGAGCATATGCACTTTTTCCGACGGCTTTAGCGCAGCTGGAACACGAACTTTTGGTGAATATTATGCTGACAGCTTGAGATTTTACATTAAAAATTTTGTTTTTGTTACATATTGAGCAATGCTCCTATTTATTTTTGCACGCACTTTCATTGCGTAAAAGCTTTTGTAATTCTGCATAACCAACACGACGTAAACTTTGCAGGAAAATGTTAGTACTCTGTAAAGTTTTCAGCATCCTCTTAAGTATTTTGTTTCCATCAAGTGTAACAAAGTCAAACTCGACTCAGAAATCGAACCGAACTTTTTCATCGAACCCCATAAAAATACCTGGTGGCGTTTGCGTCGTGGTTGTAGTTGTTGAGCTGCTTTGCGGCTCGAAAAAGTTCCAAAATCCTCTCTTTATCCTGTGGAAAAATGACTGGTCCTGTTGCGTTTCGATCAACGGCGCCTGGGCCGGAAGTTGCTTGCCATCTGGGTCGAAAATCAGGTCATCGTCCTGAAAGAACAAAGTAAAATTGTATTGGAATCTTTAAGAAACATATATGATAGCTGTTTCCTTTACAGTTATACACTTTTGTTGATATTATTTGCAGCCTATAATTCGCAAAGTAACTCCCGTTCAAAGATTATAGAGTCAAAAGTCATGTGAGAAAAGGTCGGCTCAAGCCAACAGGCAGACGTATGTGATAGATAAAGTGTAATCGTATCAGTAGCGCGTTAAGCGAATCGCTATTTAACCTTTGGGAATACTTCAGAGCGACACAATCACTGATTAGGGAATATTTTGAGCTGTCTTAAATCCAAATGGGTGAAAGAAATGATTTTTCTTTAAATATCATAAAGCAATGGATCGAGATAGATGAAATCTTATTCACTGTCGTAAAATACGTAAAAAAATATGAACATTAGTGTCTCTCTCTCTATCGTACAATTATCAATTATTGCTTATGTCTTATTTCTCTCAATGTGTGCATACACTGAGAAAAAATGTTTGGTAATTATAATTGCACAGATAAATAATTGCTATAAACTATATATTCGAGAAAATCATATTTTTTATTAAATTCTATCATAATGTTAGCGATAATAATCTTATTTACATGTTACTGCCACTATTTTCATGTTAAAATAAGCGAAACATATAATCGAGGCCAAAATAATTGCAATTTCTGTTAGATCAGCCATCTTTTTTCTCTCTCAGTGTATGCGAGAGCATAGTACTGATGAAGAGGTTAATCGGGGACGCTCCGATCCGCGTAATCGGTTATAAGAATCCGCCCGAGCGTTTTATCACGGAACTCACTCGCGAGCTCGACCCTCCGGATCTTTTTACGAGGCGTAAAACTCGAGGTTTCTCGCTCTCTTCGCGAATCTCTCGAGTAGCGATCTCGAGGACAGCCGCCGCATTCGTTACGGTATTCGCGATGACGAATGCACGTATCGCTGCTACTTCATCGGTCGGGAACCCGCCGTCGTGCCAGATGAGCACATGTGTCGCCGCAGCGGCGGCGAGGGGGCGAAAGTATATGTACACACACACATACACACACACACACACACACGTGAGAACTATCGGCTGGGGGAGGTGTGTATCGCCGAGTATCCTCACGCGTCGCTCATAAAGAACCAATTCTCACCTAAACACACGATATAAATTCAGGATCGTCGCGCCATTCCGCCGGTGCGGAGCAGCGCGTCGTGATTCCGCAAGAAACCGCCGCGCGACCGGCAAACTGGCCAGGATTCGAGCGCGCGCGCGCGCGCGCGGGTCAATGACGTCGCTCGTGCGGGATGAAAATGGGGAACCGTCGTCGAAGACGGCGAAGAGAGCACCGTGGCTGGGTATATAAGCCAGAGGAGCCAACCGGAATAACGTATCGTTATGGGCGAATACCTGACGAGCTTGAGAGAGCTACGTAGCCCGCCCGCCCGGTTATGCAAGCGCGCGCGCGCGCGTGCGTATCGCGGTTACGGCACAAGTATGAATAATACAGCGGGGGGCCGCGAGATTGTGCGTGCGTGCGTTCGTGTAGCGCCTCTTGCGAAAATAAAGGCGTATGCAACTCGACGATGACGACGACGATGGCCGATTAAGCGACTGCATCACGAGTGGATTCTTTCGCGTTCCGCAAGAAGAAATACCGACCGGTCTCCTTCTCTGCGACTCTTTGTGCGCCCTTCGCATCTCGTCAAGGATAACTTAACCCTTTAAGGCGCATAATTCATGAAACATTGTAGTAACTTTTTTTAAATGAAATATTGCGAAAAACATTCTAAATAGCACATTTATAAGGTTTCAACTGCCTGATCCTAAGTAGTCTCTATTGGTACCAGTGATACTTAAAGGGTTAAGGGGAGGTTCTAGTTTAGACAGCCAAAAACAGAAGATTTTCACGATTCTTTTTTCAAAGAAATAAACAAAGATAGCAAATGTGAGCCAAATTATTTATCATTGTCTTGACTGTAGAAGTTATTTTTTTTTTTAGAAAAAAAATCGAGATTTTGTCATCCAGAGTTTTTGTGCTAAGCGCGACGTTGCTGAACTTACGCAATAGCTGGAAAAATTATGATCAGAAAATTTAAAGACTGAAATTTACTGAAGGAAATTTATTGAAATTTAATGAACCTAAATTCTTTGAAAAATTCCCAGCATTAGTATTTTTCCTGGGACACTAAAGGAAAAAGAGAAAGAGAGGAAAAATAACTTTCAACTTAGAGAGGTGCGACAATTTTATTAAATTTCGACTTTTTGCATATAACAAAGATTCACCTCCCGGCGAATTTGATACAGCTTTTAGATTTTCTCGTCTCATCCTTTCCTGGTATCTTTATTCATTTCTTTGAAGAAAAAAAAAAGGAATTTCTTATTTTTTCCATCTGGCTATCCGAGCTAGAATCTGCCCGTAATCAGATTGGAAATTGATGCGGCGCCAGGATGGAATTTCCGATCCTCGAAATTTCGCGATCGGTTTCTTGAATTTTTCTCTTCTCTTTCGTATGAGAGGCGGATTCGTTCGAATTCCACCTTGAGCGGGAAAAATGTAATTTCTCGAACACACAATTTCATATCTTGTGCCATGTCTCTTTAAAAGAGAATTACATTTGAAGAGAAAAGATTTGCATGCACCCACGTACACACATACACACACATACACGCGCACATATAGACACACGCATGTCTTTTCGATTCTGTTTAATCGGACGATTTTCGCGAGCCGGTTTCGCGTGTCTTGTTTCGCGTCGCGCAAAGTGCAGCGCGCTGCAGCACGTGACCGGAAACGTCGGCGTGTCTTTTTTCCCCTCTCTCCTTCTTTTTTCTCTCATTTTCTCTCTCTTTCTCTCTCTTTCTCTTGTACTCTCCCTCTCTTCCTTCACGAGGCGGGAGTGCTCGTGCACCGGTAATGAAGCTTAAATCGCGCCAGACGAGACGTATTATTACGGTGGCGTATTTACACGCGCCGGCGCGTATTTACACGGGGCGACGTTTAAGGATTCGCGTGCAGCGGAATCATCCGACACTCGCTGGCTGCACGCGCACGCATCACCTTCGCGCGTATGCATCCGTCGTGCTCGTGGTCGTCGCATGCCGTCGAAATGCAAGCGAACGCACAGAGTACAACACACGTATGCCTTATATAACCCCGAGCTCTCGCGTTTTAACGAGGGTAACGACACCGCGGGAGCGTTCATTAATCCGCCTTCGAGACAAACCGTTTGCAGTCGCAACTGCTGCACCCATTGCAGCAGCCAGTGTACGCACGACGCGGCCTGGCTTTTTCTTCCTCGATGTGATGTCGGTTGCCCGTCGACGATGTTGATCGATCGGAAAAACGCGCTGCAAGAAAAACAGGCACGCAGGTCACGCGTGAGACGCGCCCGACGTCGTCGCTGTTAATTCGTTAATTCCGTGTTAATTATTCTTTTCCTTTTTTCCAATCACGGTCGGCGATGTGTGAGTAGTGATCGGATAGATCTGTTCCAAGATGCGTTTCGTGCGCAAAGGTGGTAATAACACGATAATCGCGGGCGACGAAAGTAGCGACGACGCCCTGCGCGCCTGTTGTTTCGAAATTGCGGAAGTCCGGACTTAGCGGGATCGCAGATAAAACGGACTGCGAGAGAGACCATTTTAGATCGCGATAACGACCGTGATGCGCGGCACATCCTGCCAGAAAACAGCCGCTACATTGTTCGCACACACGCGGTTTTATTAGGGACAATTTAACGATTCGGTCTGCATCTAAATTGTCCTTTTAAACGACTCCCGCAGCATTGCGCGCGCGATATCGTTATCGACTCTACAGCGGTATAGATTTCATAAGTCGAAACGAGTGCATCAGGAAAGCCGAGATATTTTTCCACCAGAAAATATTAACGATTTCGGTAGAAATCGACAAATTAAAGTATCAAAAAGTTATGTAATAAATAAATAAATAAATATATATATACATATACATATATATATATATGTATATATGTATATGTATATATATATATATATATGTATATATGTGTATATATATATATGTGTATATATATATATATATATGTGTATATATGTATATGTAAATATTTATATATATATATACACATACACACACACACATACGTATATACATATATATATATATATATATATATATATATGTGTGTGTGTGTGTGTGGTATATATACATACACACATATACACACACACGCGCGCGCGCGCGTGTGTGATGATAAATATATGAGAAAGAAAAGTGTCGCGAGGTCGAAGATGAGTCATTTTATATTATAAACATTTAATATTACCGTGTACCGCGTTGGAACATGAATAATATCGAGAATCTTAAAATTCTGGATAAAATCTATTACTCATTGTTCTGAATAATTAATTCTGGAACATTGGATATATCACACTCACGCTATTGTTAAAACGTTCGTTGTTCCTATACAGTGAAATAGGCTCGGGGTATTATAAGGTAAAAAACTTCTATCTTCCCTCTACAAGTGCCCAGACTACGCAGCCCCATCTGCTCAACATATAGGAAGAAACGCCATTGAAATCAGTCTTGATATTAAAATTCTTCACGTTAAAACGATATATTCTTTTTAAAATCATTGTTCCATATTCTATTCAGTCTTTTTGCAAAATTAATTTTTTCTTTATAAAGTATAATTTTTATAAAATGTAATCAATCATAATTAGCAATATAGGCGTATTCTTGAGATTTTGGTACTCAAAAAATTAAAAAAATATGTTAAAAATTATCCATGCTAAAACGCCCTGGTGTTGTAAATTCCATGAACCACAGGCAATTTTCTAGCAGGTACAAGGTACAACAATCAGTTTTAACTGTGACATTTCACTTGGACAAAGTAAAATGCTAAATGTACAACAAAGTATTTTTTTAGTGTAACATTTGCTTAAATACAGTGAATTTTTTCGTGTGTATATAATTCCAAATTCTTTATCATCTCACATTGTTTTATCTTGACTTTTCCGAGGCTGTGCAA